TGACTCACTGATCAAGATATTTTGTCACTATATAAAACCGTAGTGTGCACATATCTTGAATATTGGGTAGAGCTTTAGTGTCTGCATCTCAAGGAGGAGGTGGTAAAGTGAATTGGAGGTGATACAAAGAGGCATTAATGCTACAGGGGATAGAGTAGCTGTCTTTAGAGTAGCTGCTTTAGAAGGAAAAATTTAGTAGTCTGGGATGTTTCAATGTGAAGAGGAGAAGGCTGAGGTGGAGATGTAATCAAAGTTTACAAAATCAGAAAAGCACTGGATAAACTGAATGTGGAATTGTTCACCAAACTGTTCAGTACAAGGAAGAGTGGCATTCTGTCATGGTTTGAGTCCAGAGGGCAGCTGAGTACCATGCAGGCACTCACTCCTTCCCCCTCAGGGATAGGGAGGAGAAAATAAAACAAAAGTCTGAGGAATCAAGACAAGGACAGGGAGGAATGACTCACCAATTAAGGTCCCAGGGAAAAGACAGACCTGACTGGGGAAGAAAAAGAACATCAATTTAATTTGACCACCACCATCAAACAGAGTAGGACAATGAGAAATACAACCACATCTTAAACACACCTTCCCCCTAACCCCTCCCTTTTTCACAGGCTCGGCTTTGCTCCCAATTTCTCTACCTCCTCCCCCTCAGCAGCGCAGGGTATGGGGGTTGCGGTCAGTTCATCACCCCTTGTTTCTGCCGCCCCTTCCTCCTCAGGGAGAGGAAGACTCCTCCTCAGTCCTCCATGAACCGTCTCTGCTGTGAATCCTTCTCATGGGCTGCAGCTCTTCACAAACTGTTCCAGCATGGGTCCTTCCCACAGGTTGCAGTCCTCCCAGCAACAGACTGCGCCAGCGTAGGCTTCCCTCAGAATCCTGGCCTTCTTCAGGCACAGTCATCTGCTCCAGCGTGGGGTCCTCCATGGGCTGCAGGTGGGCATCTGCTCCACTGGTGACCTACATGGGCTGCAGGGGGATAGCCTGCCCTCTCACCACCTCCCCCTCCTCCTTTCTTCAGTTGACCTCGATGTTTGTGTAGGTACTTCCCTCACAACTCCTCTTCCTCAGGTTTCCCTTCTTAAATACATTATTGCAGAGGCGCAGCCACCATTGCTAATTGGCTCGGCCCTGGCCAGAGGCAGGTCCAGCTTGGAGCCAGGGGATCTTCAAGAAGCTTCTTACAGGAGCCACCTCTGTAGATCCCCTCCTCCACTACCAAAACCCTGCCACACACAAACCCAGCACACATTCCAAACTAGTCAAGAGTTTAGTGGATAAATTAAATTACTTCTTTACACATCAGATTTGAGCCTCTGAAGCTTGTTGCTGCATGAGGTTGTGAAGTGGGCAGTATCAGCAGGTTCAGAAAGGGATTACACATTCATGGGGAACACAGATACTGACAGGACTGGGCCAGGGATAATGTCTTCCAATATTCCCTAGTACAACATTTATGGATGCTGGGGAAAATACTGTAGGAAGTGACAGGCTCATGTGCTTGCCCTAATGCCACCTCTTCTTGCTACTCCTAGAAACAGAGTGCTAGGCTACAGCTACCTCTGTTGTGATCCAGCATATTATTTCTTAGATTCTTATGTTTTGGTTGTTTAATGAAGATATTTGCCCTAAATTTTAAACTCTGGGCAGGAGGCTGACTGAGTTTGTCTGAGAGAATGGCTTTTTCTAATTGTGGCCTATTGATATTGCTCAGTGCCAGAAAGGAAGAGTAGACTGGGCCTTTATTTTACTGGCATTATATAGATCTTCACTTCTTCCAGTTCCTTCATATTCAAAGTTATCCAGTCAAAGTGAAGGAGTACTGTAGAGCAATGAGTAACCACATTTGAGCTGATGCACGGTGACCAACCAAATGCAGCAATTACCCGCCCCTCTTGCCAAGTAAAACACAGTAGCTTAAACCATGATTTAGTCTGACAAATGATTTGTGGTTTAAGCCTAGTACCTCCTGATTCACAGACCAACATACAGTCAGTTACTGCAATTTGGGTGATGAACGTTAACTCATTAGGCTCCAGTACTGAAATTTTTTCCCACTGAAATCTCTACCCTTCTGTGCACTTTTTTGTACTTTCTCCCCCTTTTGTCAGATGCTTTCTTCATGGTATTCAGCACTCCAGCCTTACTTAAGAAAGGACTATGTGTTTGAGAATTAGAAGCGAGTATAACTTGTTAGGACCCAGAACTTCAGATTCAACTCAACAAATGCTGTTTAGATCACTTGGTGTTTTGGTAACTGATGTAATGTCAAAGCCTCTGATGCAGTGAAACACGCGTGCAGTCTTGGCTGTGGCAGAGCTGGATCAATGACTCCATAGCTTTTAAAGGGAGTTCTTGTCAACACAAGTGCAACAGAGCACCATCTCTTCTCTGTCCATGACTAGAAGAAAGGAATGAGAACTTTGAACTATATGATGATTCCTTCTAAATGAAATGAGGGTCTTGAGTTTAATATTTTCTATAAAACTCTGTTTACCCTTTGTATCTTGCAGAAGGTAGTTTGGTGCATCTTGCTGTACTTTGTCTTGTGCACTGAAGACTGTAGGTCAAATAAGCATAAGGAAATTAAAAGAAAAAAAGAAAAAAAAAAAAAGAACTTGGGGAAAGGTAGAAAGAAGGGTAAGAGAATCAACCTGGAATATTTCATATCTCTGATCACTTAGCTGTTGTCTTGAGGTCAGTTACCTTTATACAGCATTGACAACTGAAATAGTCTAATGACTGTCAGCTAGGAAATTACTATATTTTAAATGTGACAACAAAGGAATTACCATTAACAATGCTAGTAATTCTTACTTGTAAACAAACACTTTTTATTTCTTTACACCTGGGTTGTTATACTGTGTTGCAAGCATGAAACTTTGAACATCTTTGAGATGGTTAGCATTTTCTTAAACATCCAAATGTGCCAATATTGAGAAGAGTGAAATATGTAAGCAAAGGAGCGGAATGTAGATCACCTCTATTTTTGTTATTATTATCCTATATATAGCTAACTAGCAACAGACCAAAATGACTGGAAAGAAATTAAAGAATAGTGTATGCATCAGCAATGCTTGCCTGTTTTGCTAATCCTAAAATGAATATTGGAAATGCAAAAACTAAAGGGTATATGTCAAGAAGCTAAACATGGATTCCTTGAACAGAAGTTGTTGCACAGCAAATTTCTTGTCTCTGCCTGTAGAAAGTCTTCCTCTTAGCAGGAGGGGGACAATTGCTCTGTCTAATGTCTTTCTGAAAATATTAAAATTCCACTATAACAGCAGTCTCCCCTGAATGTTAAATGAAGAGTTTGTGGTATGAGCTTAAATGGAGTCTTCCTTCTCTCTCATTTTTTTCAAACCACCCTTGTATCAAGGGGTATGTGGGGGCCTGATCATTGTGTTTCACCTGCAGATCAGTATTAGTTTTGATAGGCTTGCAGAACTGAGGGACAAATAAATTGACAATTCAAGCTGTACTGTGAGGTTTGACGCACAACCTTAGCTGCTACCCCTGTTTTGCAGACAGGTCAGGGTTATTAAGACCTATTGGTGCACCCAAAGCCCTGACAAGCCTCAACTGGACCTTCCACCCACTCACCTTCTGCCCAAATGCTCCTGGAGCTCTACGTAAGCTTGGGCCCCCAGTCTGCACCTGAGCTACATCACAGTGTACCTGTGCTCGACCGTGTCCCTGCTGCCCTGATTTTTCTCAGTGGGCTTCCTGCACTGACCTCAAATGTGACAAATTACCTTTCTTTGTCTGATGATCACCAGGCTGTCACCATCACCACCCCAACCTGATTAAATACTGCAGGACATTGTCGTGGTCAGGGAGGTAACTATTCCTGTCTGGCTTGTGGCTGTCTGCAGCCACAGCCTTGTGGAGCAGCAATCTGGCTCTTCTTCTTCCTTAGCTGTTAAATCAGGCTTCTGTGAAGGACCTGCAGTTATTGTGCAGCTCGGGAGCCCCCAGTGTAAGAAGGATATAGACCTGCTCGATCAGGTCCAGAGGAGGGCCATGAAGTTGATCAGGGGGCTGGAGCACCTCCTCTACAAGGGCAGGCTGAGAGTTGGGGCTGTTCAGGCTAGAGAAGAGAAGGCTCCGGGGAGACCTTATAGCAGCCTTCTAGTACTTCCAGGGGGCCTACAGGAAAGATGGGGAGGGACTATTTATCAGGGAGTGTAGTGGTAGGTTGAGGGATAGTGGGTTTAAACTGCAAGAGGGTAGATTTAGATTAGATATAAGGAAGAAATTCTTTCAGGGTGATGAGACGCTGGAGCAGCTTGCTCAGAGAAGTTGTAGGAAGCCCCCTCCCTGGAAGGGTTCAAGGCCAGGTTGGACGGGGCTGGGAGCACCCTGGGCTGGGGGAAGAGGGCCCTGCCCGGGGCGGGGGGGTTGGAACTAGGTGATCTTTAAGATCCCTTCCAACCCCAACCATTCTATGATTATACTGCCAGCCATGCATGTAATGGAGCTCAAGCAAGGACTGAGGGAGCCTGGCCTGAGTTTAAACAGGGCTCCTCTTTCCATGGAGGGTGTGGGTAGAGGGCTCAGATGAGGCTAGTCAGGACAATTAAAAGTAATTAGTGCATTCAGGGTCCTGATGCAGAAGAAATTAAGCTTGGGTAACTTAATGGCACTGAAACTGAGAGGTTTTGTAACTATTAATGTATTATCTCAAGATGTGGGGAGGCTGTGGCACAGTGGCCAGGAGTTGGTTAATTTATATGTAAGTTCAACTCTGTTACTGCTAACACATTTTCTTCTGTAGAATACGAGTGGACAGGATCAAGAGTCTTGCTATGCTGCTTGAGCATAGTGCATTCAATTCATGTGGTGTCCAAAACTTTCCATTAACTTGTTACTTGACCTTCCTGAAATAATAATAGATAAAATGGTTTTCTGATCTATGATACTATTTATCTGTATTGATTTTGAGAAGATATGTATATAAATGCAGAAGATTAAAATATATTCTGACTTCACACTTCCAGGTTCCTGAGCATACAGAACTTGCCTGGATTCTTGGGTGCTTAACTAACATGCCACGTCTGCTACGCTTGCCCCAGTGGAAGGTATGGACAGTTTCATAAATTGAAAGGAAATATATGGAATTCAGAACTGTGGTCCTTGAAATACTTGTTATCTGTGAGGTACCAACTGTATCTTGATTCTCCTTGTTTTAGGTTTAAGTAATTCTCTAGTCCTATGGTGGAAAGAGGAAAATGTGTCTTTCCAGGTCTGTTGCTATCAATTAATGTTTTCCTACTGGAAGCTAGAGGATAATATTTTTGGCAGAAACTTGTGTAAAGTGTACTAAATAGGAGATTTGTTTGGTGGTGTTGAACTGATTTTGCTAGAATGCTTGGAGTTATTTCAATGCTTATTTAATAATGCAAAATAAGATATTACACTGGAAACCTTGAGCCTTGATAATTAAGCAGTTCCATAAACAGCTTTTCTTTTTCCAGCATGAAGAGTGACTGTTCTGTAAATTTTATGGAAGAGGATACAAAAGAAGCATGTGTTGGAAGAGGAGTATAGAAATTATAAATATTAAACATTTTTAATATGAGTGATAAAATTAATGCACCTTAAATGTTTGCCTTTACAAGTTTCAGATGTTCATCTTAGTGCTGCATCAGCATGACTGCGTCAACAGAGTTCTTGCATTTTATTTTGTTGTATTTTATTTTGGCATTTAGTAAGCAGAAAAACCAAAAGACAGGAGAGAGAAGTATCAAAAAGGAAAAAAAAAAAAATCTTAAGAGCAGTTTGGCTTGCAGAGTTCAGAGCAGTCTTAAATACCTCCAGATGCTTTCTTTTTTCCTGTTTTTCTTCTTAATTAAATAAAAACAGTAAAACTTGAATACAGCAACCAGCGTTAATACATGGCATAGATTAAAGCCAACCTTTTCAAACCTGAGGTTCTAAAGTCAAGCTCTTAAATCCAACTTTGACTGGATTGACTTTCCAATCTACAGATAGGTGTTACAGGTGCTAGGCTTTGCAAATTAGGTCCCCTAAACCTTAGACACTTAGAGATGTAGACAGAAGACAGGATCTGTATTAGAGGGTGAGGAAAATCTAAAGATATTTTAATAGTCTTAATGAAATGATTAAGATTTTAATTTAAGGGCTTTAGTGTATTTAACTATGGTAAAAAGCAAAAAAGTATACATGCCATTGCTAAAACAGAATTAGTATCTGTAACCTGACTATCTTGATTTAAATGATCCATATCCTAAAGCAGTAAAGGACTTCAGGAGAGTGGATGGATTGTGGGGACCAAGGGAGAGAATGCTGGACTCTGCCTCTCTACTCTGGGTTCTCCTGGCTGTCACCGACTCTCCTGGTGACTGTGTGTGATCACTATGTTTTGATCTCTTTTCTGTGAAACACAGGTATTAATGCCTTTTTATATCTCTGTTATAAAGTGTTTCAAAAATTTATTGCTGAAAATTTTGTTTTAAAAATAGATGTTATCAATAATAACTGTAACAAACCAGCTTGTGTTTGTAATCATTTTCTGTTAGTGAGGTTACAAACAGAAAGAAAACACGAGCCTGTGTTTTCTCCCCAGTACAATATCAGAACAGTGTAGGAAAATTCATAAATAGAAGATGTAAAATAGAATATGTGTACTCACAAGGAGCAGATTTTACATGGCACACTTTCCTCTAGAGTTACACAATAGGTTACTCAAATTAGCTGGAATTCTAAGTAAATAAAATCACAGACTTTGATAACACTAGCCAAAAGTGTGATTCCTCTCTGTTTTTCTCTTGCAAACAGATGAAGCGTGCCAGCCAGAATAATGAAGGAACTGTTGGTTTGTTGACTTACCCTGTGCTTCAAGCAGCAGATATTTTGCTGTACAAGTAAGAGGCAGAATGTGAGCCCATGGGCAATGTCTGTTCAGCTGCATTAGAATGAACGTTTGTCAGGTCAACATGCTAACTTACTAAGTGGGGGAGCTGGGTGTGATTAGATCAGAAGATTAGAAATGGATGACAGCTTTTTACCTCTCAAGTGGCTGGTTGAAGTCTAGCCTGGTTTGAAAGCAACTGACAGGGCTGTAAAGAGAAAAAGCTGGTCAATTCAGAATAATTCTTAGGGAATTGTAATGCGTTGATGTTTAGTTATACATATTACATGTTCACACACATGCATATGCATATTTCTTTTTAAGTAGTTACGCTTTATTTTATGCAGTATCACTGTAGAGATACTTAATCTGGCTGTATATTAGTGTGGGATTCTGTGTAGGCCTGTTGATACTGATGAAAAAGTGCATAATTTACTGTACCTTGTGGTACCTGGGCTAGCTCAGTTTTCTCTGTGGTGTACTATGTACTGCAATGCAAATACAGCCTTAACGAGGGACTGGTGTCTCAGCATAGATAAGTTTGTTGCATAGCTGATATAACTCATTGTCATGACTGATAGTATTTCACAATCAGTTTTAAACTGTCTCAGTTGGTAAATATTAGAGGCAATAAACTAGATATTAACTATTTTTATGTTCTGAGAGTATGTACTTTGTGGAATTGTTCTGAAGTGAAATTGTGAATATTTGTTGGGAGAGAGAAGTAATACAGAACTATGACGACAGGGACTTCAGGAGGACAGAGTAACCAAGATTAGCCAGTTGTTAACCCAGAAAAATGTATCTAGAGAAATTTAATCCTAAGTGATCAGTAGTAGGGGAAAACAGTAATGTTAGAAGACTAGTAGATGATACTTCTAATTCGCTTGAATTTTAACTGAAAATAATGGGAAGCAATCGGAAGTCAAAATTAATTTGAACATTAAAATAAGCTTCTAAGCAGCGAGTCCCATTTGATTGTGAAGCAGTGTTTAAGGGTGAAATATAGACAACTATCAAAAATAACCTTGTTTTGAATGAGCTAAACCACGTATGTCTCTTCCACCTCTAATAAGAAGCCTGTGGTTTGACTGCTACCATGTGTATTAAGAGCAGGCTGTCCAGACAGAGCACAAAACAAGGAATTGAAAGAGAAACAATATCTCTTTGAAGAAATTTGACATAATATCTTTAATAAGAAATGTTTTAATATAAAAACATAATATAGGGAACAAGAATCAGGGAGAAATGGAAACACAGGAAGGGAACAGCACTCATGAAGAAGAATTAAGAGCTGGAGGGAGGGGGAGAAACAGCACTAATTCAGGTGAACCAAGGATCAGAGGGACAGGAAAATGGACAGAAGGTAAATATGACAGAAAGGAATAAAGGAATAAAAATAGCAGTAGGACAGAAATATTAAAAAAAAAAAAAAAACAGCAAATAATCATACAGAGGCATTTATAAAGACAATATGTTTTCTGTTTAGTGGCAAACTTTGTGAATATGGAACCATTCTGGCATATGGAAGCATTTCTTTTGACTTGCTTAAAGTATATTGATTATGGTAACTGATTTTCTTTCTGTTAGTTGTAGGCCACTGTGATTTCCTATTGGCTACTGTAACTGTTTTTAGGTTGCCTTGCTGACTATTTGTTGGAGAATAAAGGTGGGCAAATTGATTCTTGGATGTCAGCCCAGTAATTCAGAATCGGAAGGAAGGAGTACCGTGTTGAACTGAAATTTTCTGGGAACTTAAAAGATGCATAGTGAACTTTCTTACACTGGAACATATCCAGGATTCAGAGCTGAATACCCCACAGCCTTAGAAAAAAAATCTGCTGGGGGAAGGGAGAGTAATCAAAAGTTGGCAAGACTTCAAGTCTGCCTCATCTAAAAGAATCATACATTTTTAGCGAGTATGATTAACTGTGGGAAAGAATCATCAGGGGAAGTAATGGATTCTTTACCTCCTCATGTCCTCTGGTGAAGATTGTGTTTCTCTCCAGAACTGCATTCAAGCTATTGAGTTCAATACAGCAGATCAAATGATCCTTTGATCCTAACAGTTCTAATCTATGAATGATAACACTTGTGGCAATAGAGACACTGGCCCACATGATATCTACACAATGGTGACCCATGAGGAAGAACTGCTCTCTTCTTCCCTTCCCTTGATAAATCCACAATACTAACTTCTCATCTACAGTTATGTTTTCCTGAGACTTGACAAGGCAAGGTGCTTGCACTTTATGCCTTGCATATCTTTCCTAGTTTTTTCACACACTGTAACGCAAGCTCTTTGATCTCTAAAGAGATAGCAGGAGATATTACCTTTCTTTAAGCTGAGTTTAATGATTTGCTCTTATTGGTATCTTTACCATGTATGTTTTTGCAAAGGGCTATTTTTGCCCTTGGAGATATGTTTCAGTTCAGCACAAAAAGCAGACTCATCCTGGGATACAGTCAGTCTGGGATCTTGTTCCCACAGCACCTATATGTATCTGGGACTGAGTGCTTGGCTCAACCTGGCCCTCAGTCATGGCAGAAACTGTGACAATCTTGAGTAACATTTTAGCAGAACAAGAGAGCTTTGCTCAGTTTCCTGTATCTGTCTTTTATTAAAAGGTCGACACATGTTCCCGTTGGAGAAGATCAAGTCCTGCACCTGGAACTAGCCCAAGATATAGCACAACATTTCAACAAGAAATATGGAGAATTCTTTCCTGTGCCCAAAGCCATTTTAAGTGAGCTGGTCTTGGTTATTTTATTTTTTTTTCTTCCCCCTTAACTGCATTTCAGGGTTGAAGATGGATTTAAATATTGTGGAAATAGTTTCAGGGACCAAGAAAAGGGAGCAAACTGGTGCTAAGGGAGTAGAAAATTAAAAACTGACAACAAGAGAATAGAGGCTGTGAAATTGAACTCCCAAGATAGACATAAGGCTTTAGAAATCCCCAGTAGAGGAATGTGTGTGACGTCTGGTATTCTAGTCCAGGGGGCCAGATGTACTCTGCTGCTGCCAGTCAGCCTTGCTCTTCAAATATTGGACCTTTTAAGAGTAGGGTCTCTGCTCCATGTTGCTAGTTCAGGAGACGTGTTAGCAACAAGACAAGAGACTTCTAGCCAGCAGAATTCTTCAGTGTCTGAGTGGTAGATACTAACATTAAGCATGCTAAACAGTGTGTAGGTTTATTGGTCCAGTGCTCAAAAAAATCTTTTAAGTGTGTTTAATATATATCTGTCTGTTTCAGTAAGGGTCTCTTACAGAGCTTAGACTTTCCATTTTTGATCTTAGGGAGACTTATAAGGAAAATCTTCTCAGCCATTTTTGAGCTATAAGGTCATAGGCCGGGGGGTGAGGAGGAGTCAGATGGCGCAAATGGCATGTTTGTTAAGAAACGTGAAGAATTGGGCAAGGAAGAAGCATTGCATCTTTGTTGTAAGTAATGTAGAGGAATGCACAGCAGAGACCTTCGCCCCCAAAAGGGCAAGGAACTCTCACCTTAGAAAAGACAGGCAGTAATAAACCTTTCTCAGTTTTCAAGCTTCAGTGACAAAAATGATGTTAGACCCAGAGTGGAGCTTATAGAATACTAGGTATTGCAAGCTCTGCCATTTCAATGAACAATTAAATACTAAGCACTGTAATGAGGAGCTGAACATAGCCTATGATGCAGGTGAGACTGTTTCTCAGGAAATAAAAAGCTCAATTTGGGAAAAAAAACAGAAAAAAAACAAAACAAAACAAACAAAAAAAACCCCAACGCCTACCAAAAACAGAAACCCAAAACTTTTCACATAAAAAACATACCTTCATAAGTTTAAAAGTATATGCAAACCAATGAAAGATCCCAAATGAAAGGAGGAGTTAGGAACCTATTCAAACTTGCTAGCTGTAGGCAGTTAGATTACCTGGACTCCTTCAAATTCACAAAAAAGAGACAGACTTTTCCAAAAGATGATTCAGAACAGAGCACTTTCAGGGGCAGTCTGAACTGTACCCTGGAAGAAGACTTATCCTTCCACTGAGTACATAGGCCATCTAGGAGGAGTACACAGATAGTTTAGTTGGCTGTTATTAGGTGTCTAAAAACAATTGATGTGAGTACTTTCTAGATTAGTGATACTTTGTGTAGTCCATGAATGGTGTTACTTGGTGAAAGACTGAAACAGTTTGGGTTAAAGACAATACTTTGCAATATTCCCCTAATGCTACTTTGGTTTCACGTACGTGTATATATGTTAGTAGTTTGTACAATACTCACACCTCTCTTATCTGAACAGTATTTTCCCTCTAACAGAGCTGGTTAGTGCTCAGTTAGGGAACTTTTAATAACTGTATTGATAATTAGGAGAATTACCAAGAGATTTTGAGTGGAGGAGTTTCCCAAAGTAAGGAGATTAACTGTTCTGGGATTCTTTTTTACCAGTGGATTCAACCTGTTTCTTCACTGTTACAGAACCTTTCAGTAGTGTGCAGTCCAGGCTTTCTAGGTAACTTGTCCCCAGTGCCAGGAATACAAGGGAGGAGAGAGTTTTGGGGGAAAATTGGCATGTAGCCACAGAAACTATTCAGAAGTGTCTCAGAAGTTTCTGCTTAGTGAAGAGGGGAGAAATGGAGCAGGCTTTCTTTTAGTTTATGGGAGAAAGGTGGGTTAGAAGGACACAGAGGGCATAAGGACTAAATAGGAGCATACTCACAACTCATTTTTAAGCAAGGATAAACAGAGAACTTTGTCATGCTGCTACAGTGTTCTTGGCAATTGTCATAAGAAACCATTGTCTATGTGTGTTCATAATTATTCCCTTTTTTTTTTTTAAGGCAAAACAAAGAAAATAAAATCCCTCAGAGATCCAACAGTGAAGATGTCCAAGTCAGACCCACAGAAGTTAGCTACTATTAACATAGCAGACAGCCCTGATGAAATAGTGCTGAAATTCCGCAAAGCAGTGACTGACTTTACCTCTGAGGTGACCTACGACCCAGCCAGTCGCCCTGGTGTCTCCAATCTGGTGTCCATTCATGCTGCAGTAACGGGGCTTAGCATCAAAGAAGTGCTGCACCAGTCTGCTGGTCTTGACACTGCTCACTACAAAATGGTGGTAGCAGAGTCAGTTATTCAAAAATTTGCACCTATCAGGAAGGAAATCAAGAAACTCCAGGAAGACAAATCCCACCTGATAAAGGTTTTAGAGGATGGAGCACAAAAAGCCAAAGATTTGGCTGCCCCCATTTATCAAGAAATAAGAAGATTGGTGGGATTTCAGTAGAAACTGCTGAGTGGTTACAAGGACTTTTGTTTCTTGGGACAGACATTTTGTTATTTGTATCTTCATTTTGGTTTGAAACAAAAACTTCTCCTGGAAAATCCAAGTAGAACATTTTCATTAAAAAGTGTGCATGAAGCCGGGTATTTCCAGTGGGACCAGCATTAAGCTTTGTCTGAATAGTCAGAGAGGAAAGGCAAAGCAATCACAATTTGTTAAAAAATCCCTCAAAAGCAGAATATGAGATTGCCCCAGTGGGGTTTCGGTTTTTACCATTGACCACTGCAAGAAGCTGAGGTATAGGCAAGGCAATCAGAATCTAGCAGAAAGGTCTGTAATCTTCCCAAGAACATCCTTAGCTGTGCGTGTGATCATGTTGGAGATGGACAACTCGTCCCATTGGTGGCTATTCAGCTTTGATATGGTGGTTGAATGTGTTCTTGGATAACGAGCATAAAAACATAAGATTGCAGATCAAAATGCTCAGGCTGATGAAGAGAGAACTTACTACTTCTCCCTGTCGCATCTTCAAACTCAGTGTGATTTTGTATCTGCGTCTAGTTTGTGTGAAGAGAGTCTGTGTGTCTTATGGATACGGATATCCATACTCTAAAACTCACTGTGACTACTGTGCTAGACGGCCTCTTTGATAGTCACTCCAAAGAATCCAGAGAGTGGACTTGAATTTTACTTCTGCCACCTGTGCCATCCTGCTGGTTCAGGTCTTAATGCACTTCAGTGAGAAGCAACGTGCTTCAGCTGCTCCCATTCCACCTGCTGATCGGTTTAGCAAGGAGCTCCAGGATTTTCAGTTCAGCCTTAAGTCTAGGATTCCTTTAGAAAAGGTGCAACCCTGTGTGTAAGAAACCTCAGGTTGAGAAATCAGAAAACTTTCTGTAAAATTTACAAAATTACTTGTTTAGAAAATTGTGCTGAAGTCAAAGCCAAAATGGGAATAAATAGATCTTTATGACCTTTCACTACTGAGCCTCCAAAAGCTCAGTGATGGAAGAATGGTATTAGCCTGTGCTGATCTTAGGCCTCACAAGACCCACAGACTGGGACCCATGGACCATGGCATTTGCTGGGAGACGTGTGGCAAAGGGGAATTGCCAAAAGGAAACACCCTCTTCTGAAGAGGGAGCAGTAATACATGTTAAAAGGTAATGAAAGCCCTACTGGTCCTGTGCCAGCGTATGTAAGTGTATCATTGCACTTAATGGTGCTGAGTTTGAAATTGCTGTACTGTAATGTAAATTGAGTTCATCCTGTATCCCAGCAGCTCATAACCATTACATGCCTATGGCATTTGTCATGAAGGACTGCAGTCTTACATGACTGAGTTAGTAAAACTGGGGGGGGGGGCGTGTTTTCTGTGTAGTGCAGGTTTGTGGTTTTTTTTTTTTTAAAAAAAAAAAAGCTATTTAGTTAATTATCATAGTGAGGTGATTCAGATAGAATTACTTAATTTTGCAAAACAAGAAGTTGAGGACTGGCTGTCTACAGATCGTTACTGAGACTTGTATTTATTTGTTAGGAATCTGAAGAAGAGAACTACTGTGCAAGAACTTGATGATGACAGAGTTTCTAAAGTTAGTCAAGACTTAGAGGAACAGAGTGGATGGTGGATGGAGACAGAATGGTGGGAAACCAAACTTGGTGTAGACAGGTCCAGGGTAATGTCCTCTGGAAATAAGTGTATTCAAAAATAGTCCCTGGTTTCAAATTAACTGTAGGAGATTAAGAAAGGGCACAGTCATAACTGTGCATATTTAGGTAGTTTTACAAAACTCCTGTCAGTGTTTAGCAGCTACATTACTCTGCATGGGAACTACAATAGAAAAGTAAGACACACAGTTACTGCTGCTTGCTGAGTTGCCATAAAGTGTTTGCTGTGACACTTTTTAACATGGGTTGGTTTCTACAAAGGACCCACAATGGATTCCTTAAGCGAAGCTAATGCAGTGCTCATGGAGATACTGGAAATCTTTAACACTAATGCATCTAGTTTCTACTTGTTCCTAGCAAAGCTGTCTTTATACTTCTGATACTCATATCACCTAACATACAGGGTTCACATTCAACACTCCTCCTTTGCAGTGAGAAGAAAATAGCAGTATTCACGAGTCTTCAATACAATTTATTTTAAAAAGCAGGGGAGGGGACAACATCAACAGGCAATTCTAGCTTGTTACACAAACTGTTCTGAGCAGTCTTTCCAAAACTGTTAGTTTTTGGTTTTGGGGTGGTTTGTTTGGTTTGGTTTGGTTTGGTTTGGTTTTTCAGAAAATCACATAAGTAAAGCAGAAAGAAAAGCTTCAAAAGAGCTCCTTCTTTGGGGTAGGGGTTTAATACATCACATATTTAGCAGTGTTTAAATCAAATTTACTGATTTCTCTCTTTTTAATTAAAGAATCAACTGGAGTTTTCCCCTTCCCTTTCCCCTATCAGTCAAACAAATCTCACTTGCCTGCCCTTCAAGTAGGGAAATATGCCTGCTTTTTCTCCTTCAGTAAAGTGAAACTTGTGTAAAATGAGTATGTTCTTCTACTGACTGTTGATTTAGCCCTTTTATTTTAGTAGCTTCTGTGGAGGAATTCTCAAAATAAAAGCTGTGCCTGCCTAGTGAAATAATCCCAATTCCACTAACGACCATGATCATTAGAGTTCCCTGACAGGAGACAACCGTAATATAGATGTTTGCAGGTATCTCCTGCCTATTTCAGTTTTCTTAGAGCGTGGCTTTTCTGGGAAGTTAACTATCTTGGCATTCACATTAAGAGTCTAGCTGGACCAAGCCTGTCTGCCTCTCTGCATTCCTTGAGCCATTTTCTTGGCATCTGGGAAGACTTTGGCAGACAGAAGCTGAGCTTGAAGCAACATCTGCTCACTGCTATCAGTAAAAATTGTTTGATACCAAGCTACTCCGATCTCTTTGCTCTTTTACCTCCCTGTTTCCTTTCAGAACATTTTTGTAAGCACCCATTCTAGATGGTGTGCTGAGGCAGTGTTTACTTTATCAAAGTAGTGCAGATGAGTTAAAGCAGCTTTTTAGAGAACAGTTGTTGGAGAAGGCTTGATAATATGTGTTTCAGAAGGATTTGTTTCACACAAAGTCTAATACGGTGTGCCAGGGATTTACTACTGCTGGTTTACATGTGGAGTGCAGTAGGTGCATTTCTGAGACACATTTTCATGTTTGGTTTCATCCAGTTCATGTTCCCTGACACTTACCTGTGATGCTTGCTGAAGTGCCGTTAGTGGGGACACGGGGGAGTTTCTGCAGAAGCACACTCCTGATCCCAACTCCCAACTGCCATGCTAGCGTGGAAATGCCCTGTGGTGCTGTGGAAGTCATTGTAAGGTGCTCGTCCAGGACTGGATGGGAAAGAGATCCAATTTGCATCTTTCCTAGTTGAAGGGTGCAGAGGTATCCTTACCCCTTGCTGTGTTGCTCTTTGTTTCTGCTTCCTTTTCTTCAGCAATCCTTTTCCTCAAATACGTGCAGTAATTTGTGTCTTAGTCTTGAAACATCCTCCTTTCCCGTCCCAGTATGTTCAGTGCATGGGAACTACATATGTAGTGGTTGGGATCTGCAGTATCAGACCTAGAATCTCCAGGTAACTGAAGAGATTCACTTACCTTTAGAGATGAACATCAACTCCACAGCGAATAACTTACCAAGATCTAACTGAAACATTCCTACATTTGAGATATACACCTTTACAGCCAATGCTTCTTAGGAAGTCATCTTGTCACTTACCAGAAGATGTTGAGAGTGAGTCTCAGTTCTGCGCTCCAAATTTGGAGCACAGAATTATTTGGAGCACAGAACTTACTGGGAATTTTAGATTCAGGAACAGTGTTTTCTTCAACAGGGACTCCAGATGATGTTTGGACTCATAATGTAACTCTGGCACTGCTCCAGTATCTACATACATCCCTGCCTCAAATAACTGGAGCGTATGTATATTGTACATTTTACTAGAAATTGTTTGTAACTCTTAAAAATGCAGTTGAAGTATACTTAGTTTTCAAACACCATGATCTGTGTTCTCAGGTTCTTCAGAAGGCCTTGTGCATAGCTGTGATTCAGTGTGCATTTATCTACAAACCATTCCAGCAAAACTCCTTTGCAGGATTATGGTTGCTGCAGTTCAAGATTAGGGAATTCGTACGAGTGAGCTGAAAGTTTAAGGAAAGGACAGTGAAATGGGATCCTTTGGGACTGACGTGCATCTAAACGTTTTGGGACTGTAGGCTATCAGAGCAAATGTTTTCTTATACTTAGGGCCATCGTGATCCTGACAGCAGCACAGCAGTAAATACTGCTGATGAAAGCCTTTGTGTCAGCTTATGTAGGAACTCTGTATCTGACTCGTTGAGGACTGTACTATATCATAAAACTTTAACATTTCTGGTCTCCACAGTTTGCTAAATGATTGTGTCAGCAGAAATCTGTTTGGAAACCACTAGCCAAAGCCAAATCTAATCCTCAGATCCAAAGTCCTTAGACGATTTCCCAAAACAGGTTGGTTTTGATAAGCTATAATACCAATTTCAGTAGCTGCTGAAGGATCAGGAAGAGCCAGAGATCTGTTCCAAATGACTCATTCATATTTTTCATTACTTCTCTGATGCATGTTCTACTTATCCGTATGGCTCGAGGATCATGAGAAAACTCAGTGAGAGTCTGTGTGTGGTTCTGCTAATAGCAACGATATAGACCCAGCTGGGTTTGAGTCTTGAATCTATTGAGCATGCTCTCTCAGTGGTCCAGCTTCGTTAGATTTATGTTCAGGTCGATAGATCTTTCACCTGTACTCCTGCCTCTATGTTTGAGTTACTGGATGCTCCCTACCTGTTTGTTTATGACTGATTGCTTCACAGAGAGTCTAGCATGCTAGCATAGGGGGTCTACTGGAAAAGGTTTTCTGTTCAGGGAAGATGTTATTTGTTCTTGCTAAGAAAACAAACTCCCTCTTTCTGCTATATTGGACTGTCTAATTTCCTTTAAATTATTTGATCTTTTCCTTCTTTTGTGGGTAAACATGGCAATAATGGCCGCTAGAAAAATGTCACTTTACTGTGTAGTCAAAAGTCTTGGAAGGATGCAGGCATCTCCTCTCATCATTTCAGAAGTCCCTTACATTGTGGGACTTCACTACTTGCATGAGCCAGTTTCAGGAAAAATGCTGTAGCAAAACTGTGATCTTATGTGACATTCTTTGATCCAATTAAAGCTTTTGTGTTTTTGTTTGGTTTTTTTAAGTCACAAGGTTGTGGGAGAAGACTTTTGTTAAACTTTGAATTTCCAACCGAGCTTTCTATCACATAGTCCTTTGGTGACCAGAGGACAGCTGAAGTAATGAAAAACTCTCTTTATTGTCACAAAAGATTCTGTGCTGATTTCCACTGTCTTTTCTGTCGGTTTTGTTGGTTGTGCTAATGGTCATACTGTGAAAGCTTTGACAGAAAAGTATTTATTTTGTTTTGTGCTGATGAAAAATCATTCTACCTGCAACAGTCCCACATTATTATGCAAATGGAAGATTCACTGATGATTTTGCTTTTAGGCAGCAGCTTTGGTTTCACAACTATTTTATAGAAAACTAAATGCCAGGCTCCTGCACTAAGGGATGAGCACATATGCCCACTTACAATAAACAGTTTAACATCTGGGAAGATATTTTGCTACTGTGGTAAATTGCTGTCACAGAACACCATGACTGAAGATGAGATTATCCACTACTTGAGTGATCTCGTGCTGCCTGTGGATGTGAAACTAAGCACTGAGCTTAATGTCTGTTGCGCTGTCGTGCTCTCAGCACTCCAACGTGGCTGTGAGACAGGAACGGCAAACAACCACACCAGAAGGCTCAATCAGTTCCAGATGTGCTGTATTTGGTGTATCTGCAAAATAAAATGTTGGGACAAGAGTTCTAGCACTGAAATCTTTACAAGTTATTGAATGTTTGGTAGTAACAGCTTGCTTGTAAAAGCCTGGGTATGATAGCGTGGTCATAGGCTCATTCATATGGCTGACATGAGAAGTCACACGGCTCTACGTGATGATGGAGTGAAGTAAGCCATCTGCTTCTTCAGTGCAATCAGTGTAAAGACAGTGTGAGTCTCGATATGAAGGGTTAACGGATTAACCCTTACAGATGGGAAGCAGCAGCTTATGGAAGAGCAAGGTGGTGTCAGATCTCTCTTGCTGTCCTAAACCATTATGAGACAAGATGCTTACAGTGCAGGTGGGGGTCTCAGGCCATACAAAGCACAGGCAAGATCCAGCATAGACAGTGTCACTTGTCCCACATGCTGTTGGATCTGGGACTCTCCAATAAGTCTGATTTCCAAGGCATGTCTTCATTGTTGGTGTGACTTCATTGTCATCCATCAACATGAAATGATGGTCACATGCTGATAAAATCGATGAACCTTCTCTTAGCAAAGAACACACATTCAGTGTTTCTGTCTTTGGTGAAAACATCTTTCCTGATGCCCCAGAATTTATAGAAACACATTGTTAAGCTAAATACAGATGAAACTTAGCAAAACAAGGCTACTCTGTGACATTACACAGAGTTTCTGGTATAGGTAGTCTCAGGCTTCCCTAAAGAACGCTATTCCCTAAACCACATGCCTCTCGGAGTAAAGTAAAATCTTGTGCGTTGAATGTTGTGAGGCTGACTTTTGATTGTGGCTGGAAACAGTTGTTCAAATGTATTTCAAGACTCTCTTTGTGGTGTTCGCTGAATGAATAACAAAGATCTCAATAAGTGACTGTTGAGTACTCAAGCCAAGAAAGATCTTTCTGAGTGGATTGGAGCTCTCTCTGCCCACATTTATTCCTTCATGGCCTGTCTGGCAGATGTTTCTACAGCAAGAATGGGAAAAAAGTGCAGTTTTTTATTTAGGCTTTGGGGCCAAATGTAAACTGAGTAGCAGTGTGACATCCATTCTTTTTAGGCAACCCTTAACAACTTTGTTACTTACACAAGGGCTTGCAAACCCCCAGAATTGAAGTTGTGTGAATATTCAAGGGGGAAAAAGGGTAGGCGTTTACCTTACAGTAGCTCTGGTTCTTCAAGACTTGATATCCACATGCTGTGTATCCTTGCATTCCATCTGTTCTGATCAGAAAGTTACTCCTGAAATTCTTGCTCTTAAATACAGGTTATGCTTTTTTGCTTGCAACAGGAAGCAAGGTGTGCAGAGTGAATGCTGGGCTTCAGTGGCTGCATCTTTTTAAAAAGAATCTGGTCATACATTCCTGTCCTTATGTGGAATCCATGTGGACAAGGCATCTCAAAGGACCACGGGTTGACTATAGTCTTGATGCACAGAAAGCACGTGAAGAACACTTCTCAGGAAGCACTGCAATTACTGTCTAGTCACAGGCTGAATGCACTGGATGTGAAGGACTAAACCCATCTCTTAGAGCTAGCGTGTTCGCTAGGCACGTGCATTGACACACAAGGCAGAAGAACCTCGATGAACCTTGGCAAAACATTGGTTGGGAGAGGATTACTGCTGCTGTTGAGACAGCTGATCCCAAACTGTGACAATCCTCGTTTATGTTCAGCAACATGAAGCTGTGAAGTGGATGAATTTACGGTGTGGGCTGCATGAAGGCTGCAGGTTGCACAGTGTTGGTGTGACCTGTTGGGAAAGTATCATTTTCAGGGATGTGCTGGGATTCTAAAGATCTTGGATTCAGGTGTGTTGCTGACTTCTCTGTGGGAGCAGGTTGTTCTGTCTCCAGCAGAGATTAAATGTGCTTTTGCAGGGGGCTTATTTCTAATGGGCTTAATTCCAACAGAGAAACAGTGCTGTTAAAATACACTTCAGAGTTACGATATACCCGTATAAAGTAACAGCAAAATTGAGGTGTTGAGCATCACTGCTGTTTTAATCCATTTTGCTTGCCAGCATCACTTGCTGGCAGGAATAGGAACTTCGCTTTTCTCCTTCGACGAGCCAGCAGTCGTGACTCAAAGGGCTTGACTCTACTCTCTGCTTGCCTTTAAGGAGATGGATTAGCTGAAGTGTGAATGTCGTCTTTGTGGTTTATGAGGATGTTTCAGTAGATGATGAGTGGGTTGTCAAGGGAGATCTTTGGGTGGCCTGAGAAGATTTAATGGATGCTGGAAGGTTGGGAGGGGGTTGTTAGTTCTCTTTAGTTTTTTTTTTTTAAAAAAGTGTAATGTATATTCAGTTGAGGATCAGCAGCTGAGAATTAAATAGAGAAGATTTCCCATCAACTTCGTAGAATGTTTTGCTACAGCTTTACAGAAAACAACAAAATGTGCATCAGCAAGGCCATTTTGGTCGTCTTTTTTTTTTTTTTTTTATCTAATTTGGGTCTTTGTTGTCTGCCTTACAATTTTCTGTCCCCTTAGTAGTATTTCTTCAGAAGAGTCTTTCTCCTTGGTTAAGCAAAGAAAATCTAAAAATATGTTTTACATTCTATTTCTTTCAGGCCTTTGAGCAAGTTGCTTAACTGTGCTTTGCCTCAGTTTCCTTTGCTATAAAATGAGATGTAGGAGACTTCATTGCACAGGTGTAGTGGGAGGCTAAGCTAATATTTGCTAAGCATTTTGAGCCTTCTAGCTGAAGATTCCCTCACTTGGTGCAGGGTTGCAGTATTTCTTCCTGAGATGCTCTATTAGCAGTGCTTGTGGCATGAATAAATAGTGAAATGTGCTGGAGGACAGACAGTTCAATCCAGTGTAATAAATAACGGATCCAATAAAGCGTCAAAGCTGTGTGCTTTGCAGAAACCTGTAGGCTATCGCTTTCAAACTTGATACTTTTTGTTCTGCTGCAAAAAAATGCCTGAAAATGTCCCGAAATAATAAATTTACACTGCAGTCTTTACTGCAGCTCCTTAATCTGTCTCCTCCCAGCAGCCTGAAAGCGAAGGCCTCTGGCAAGGATCTGATATCAAAAGAAGGGTAATACCACTGCAGGGAGGGGAAAAATAATTACTAAATTTCCAGAGTAGTAAACGGTTTGGGTTGTTTGGTTTTGGGTTTTTTTGTTTTGTTTTGTTTTTTTGGGTTTTTTTTTGTTTGGTTGGTTGGTTGTTTTTTTTTTTTTTTTTTTTTTTAAGGACCTGGTCCCTCTGCTCGCTTGGCCCTTGCTCTGCTGCCGGGTGTCTCTAGGGCATAATGCCCCTGCCTGCCGGTGTCGCAGGGCTCCCCCCCCCTCACGCCGCGAAAACAGCAGCCAGTGAAGCAAACGGGTTTGCCGGGGAAAGTGTCACGGGAGTTAAGCAGCGGTGGGGAGAGTGGCTCAGCCTCCGCGGGTGGGAAGGAGCCTTCCCCCCGTGGGCGGGGGGCGCAGTGCGGGGCGGCGGGCACCAGGGGGCAGCGGCGGGGAGGGCAGAGCCGCGCCCACCCCCCCACCCCAGCCCCGCTCCGAAAGGCCCACGGAGCCGGGGGCTGCTTTCCCCCGTGTCCCGCTGCTCCGTCCGGGGCGAGGGGGTGGGCGATGGGCTCCACGGGGCCGAGGAGACGCGGCTCAGCCTTCCCGAGTCAAACTAGTCCCCAGGGGGAGGGAGCCCGGCTCAGCCCGTTGTTTGCGGGGTGAGTACGGGGGATCTTCCGTCAGCTCCGTGGCACGGCTCCGCGCGGGGCGCTGGGGCTGCGTCCCCGGGCTCCCCCGCGGCCTCTGGGCACCCACCGAGCCCTCCCAGACGTCAAAAAAAAAAACAAACGGGAGGCGTGTTGGCGCTCAAGATGCGTGTCGGCTGTCCGAGCGCCTGGTCCTCTCCCTCCCTCCCTCCCTCCCTCCCTCCCTCCCTCCCTCCCTCCCTCCGGGACGATGCTTGCTTACTGCACGGAGCAGAGCCCCAGCACCCAAGGCCATCCCGTAGACCTCAGATCAGAAAACGGGGCAGACCCTGCCCCACCCTGGGGGTAGTGGAGCCCTGAAGAGAAAACAAGGGTGACTCCAGCCCCTCTCCCGACGATTATTCCCCCGCGTTTTCCCTCAAGCAAGCCGGAGGCTGGGGGTGATTTCAGCGGCCGAGTGGTTTTGAAAGCATACGGGAGAGGGGACTGTGCAGGCACGATCAGATCGAGATTAGCGAGAGTTATTTGCTAAGCCCTCCCTGCTTCCCTAAACACGCAAAACACGAGACGGGCCGCAGATTGGCCCCAGCCATCTCCTCCGTGACGTGGGGGGGGAGAGGGAGAAGCGTGCTACCCTGCCCGGGAAACCTTTGTTTGCAAGAGAGGGCAACTCTTGTTTGCAAGAGAGGGCAATAGGATCGACAGGGCAAAATACACCTGATGCTGCTGATTGCGGTGAGGACAGGATGAATGTGTCGGCAGAGAGAGACACCCGCCGCCTTTTGTTGCGGTACGAGCTCCGGGACCAGAGCTTTTCCTCTCGGCTTCGTTCGTTCCCTCTGCTGGGGCTAGTAGCTCAATGTGCCTTCGAAACAAAAGCAGAGACCTGGGGTTTGGAAAGCCACGCCCGACCCTGGCCGCGTACCCCACCCTTGAGCCTCTTTCAGGCTTGCAATGCGATGCTAAACCTCGCGTGGCCCTGCATCTCCTCTCCTCCGCGGGGCCGGGGCGTTACAAGGCTCCGAGCCCCGGCGTGGCGGGAGAGGTGATGGAGGAGAGGGGCCAGCCCGGAGCCCTTTCGCCTCTGCCGTCCCACTCCGGCCCCGGATTCGTGGGTGGGCAGAACTACACGCGTCCGTGTCCCCATCCAGGGGCTTTCGGGTGGGGGGCTTGAAGCAAGGCAACGATTGCCTTCATCATATTTCGGCCAAAGCGAGCGTGTTTTGCAGAGGCAGTGAATAAATCTGCGAGTTACAGAGCACCCCGTCATGTAACATTCCTCTCAGCTTGAGCTCTTTGGGATGAACGAGAGGTTCTTACTCCAGGTTCACGTGAATATACCCCAAAGACAACGT